CAGTCCTCAGCCAGTCTTCTATCAACAACGACCTCAATATGTGGTGAATCCGAGGTATCCATCGTCTCAGCCGATGCCCATTCACGTGATGTACAATCGCGTGTCGGGTCCGTTGCCGCCGCAGATGCGGCCCAACGTTCAGTTACCAGTCATGAGTCAGACAATGGGTCCGTCACAACACAAACAGCCGCCTCCCTATCACTACCACTTCCAACACCACAACAACAATGAGTTCCCGAATCCCAGCGAAATCCGGCGCCGCGACGGACTCAACGCGTATCCACACGTTTTGAACCAAACGCCACGAGTGGGCGCTTTGCCGGTACCGCCCATCCATCACAACCCTCCCAACGCATCCCAAACCTTATCCAAAGACGAATTGGAACAGTTTGTTCAGCAGGACATCCAACGAACCGAAAGGATTAAAAAGCGATATTCAATGACTGAAGAGGACGACCCGTCGTTTGGATTCGCCCGCCGGCCCTCTGTTCGCGGCATTCGTCCCAAATTCGGCACAACTAATGATATACTTAAACAAATACAGACCCAAACGGCCGGCAGTAACAGTGCGATCGGTGGCCAAAGTGGCGGCAGTCATATCTCGTGGCCTAATATGACAAATAGTGGCCATAATATGAGTAGTAATCAAATGCTTTCGCAACAACACAGCACACAATCGTTGCAACGGAAGCCACAAATAGTTCACATCAGACTTCAGGCACAGAATCCAATGGCCGTGAAGTACGCGACCGACGCTTCAGATGGGGCTCAACAACACTCACACCAAACACACGGACCTCCGGGTGGGCCACAAATGAGCCGAACTCTTCCGCGTCCCTCATCTTTGATAAGTGAGTCCCAAATGAATGCCATTCGCACTGAAGAGGGTTTAGTGATCCGATTGCCGGCCAACACGAGTCGGGATGAGTTGAAGCAACAAATCCAACGCCAATTAGAACAACAATTGCAGACAAAGATGAGACACAAGATGACCGCAATGCCAACGACTGCCACAAAGCCAGTCATGTCTTCCAATGATGAGAGAGGAGCTCCAGAAGGTGCCAGTTCTTCGCCCAAACATTCTTCCGACGTATTGTTCGCTAAGAATATGAGTTCGAGTGTAAAGACCGGCGAAACTAATAGACAGCAAACGAATGATACAAAAAAACTAGTCATTAATGAAGAAAACAATACCAATAGTAATGATCCGAAAGATAAAGAGGGAGTCATTTATTACTCGATGAATGTTTGACACAATCAGACACTGTTTTGGCAACAATTTGTTTAATTTATACTTAAATTGTATTATAATTAGTGTTTAGAAAAATGAAATGATTTATTGTTTGAAAAACGAAAGGATGAACAAAATATACGGTAATATAAATATACATTACATTTGTTTGATTATAAGATATGTGTGTTTCGATGGCTGGCATTCAGACCTCGCATTCAATGCAAGTAATAATAATAATATTTACACAAAACAAAACACTATTTAAAAAAGAGTAAGAAATCTATTTTTATTTTGAAAATTCTGTCGAAGAAAACAAGTTGTGAAACGAAAACTACAAATTCAGAAATGTTTGGATATTTTGTGCTATTTTTTCTATTTTATAAAATTTTTATTCAAACAAACAATAAGAAAACGTGAGAAAAAAGTTTTGAGACGAGTGTTTAATTACTCGTTCAGTAAATGTCTCAATGATTTTGCTTATCATTATTTAGTGATTCTTATTCGCAACAAAAATCCATTGAAAACCCTTTCCTTCAAACCCTATGGAAAGTCTAATGGTTTGAATCGATTTATTTATTTATAGACTATTTATAGTTATAGACGATTACTATTATGAATACCTCAACACAAACAAAAACCATAGGTTTTAGTTATTCTTTGAATATATTATATATAAAGTTATATAAATATGATTATTATATATACAGTGAAAAATATAGTTAGCATTTCCTTTAAGTATATTATTTATAAGACATTATTTCTACACATTTTTATTTTATTTTATATTCATTTTTATTCTCATTTTTATTTCGTTGTAATTATTATTTAAATGAATGAATTTTACAATTGAGTTATAATAACGACAAATACTATTTACAATTGGATTCTTAGACTTATTTAGTGACAAAAACTAATAATAAAATGAATTTTGAAACGAATTGTTAGTTTTAAATGAATAGAAAAACTAGTGTTTAATTAAAAAACAATTAAAGTTAAGTTTATGATCGCACAGATCGATGACTTTGTTAAACAATTATTAAACCAATTAATTTTGTGACAAGAATTTGTTTCAAATGCGATAATAAGTTATGAAATGAATTATTGATTATAGCATTAAAAGTTAGTTTAGTTTTAGATAAAAAGCAAAAAATGTTTTTCTATATAAATAGATATTAAAGTATGAAATTTGATAAATTATAACTCAAAACAGTAATGAAAGAAATATTAGTTCCGGTGATACACGAAATAATAACAAAATAAACAGCAAATACACTCATTTAATACGATATTTATTTTAATAAAACAACAAAATTGTTTATATATTTGACACTTTTTAATAGCAGCACTTCGTATGACATCTAAATGTGTTTTTTGTTTCTCTGTCTTGTAATTCAAAAATCGATACCTTTTTTCGTTAAGTTTTGTGATTTTTATATTTAAATTCAATTGAACATGCTAAAAAGAGTTGTTAACATAGTAATATTTACATTTATAAATTACTTATTTGTAAAAATGCCATAAAAATGATTGAATTATAATGTTTTTTGAATTATAAATTCTCTTTTATTTACACATAATATATTATATCTGGTATTTGCCGTTAAAAATAATTACAAATATTTTATATCGACAACTGTTTGTGTCTGTATTTCTCATTATAATTAACACATTGGGTGTCGACTATTGTGAACATCTATTTCTTCTTAATCTTCCTCACAATTTGCGCTCAAAAATGTTAATAATGTTTTCAAAATCTGTTTTTTCCTGTTGTCTATGAAATTTAAAATTATTAATAAAATTAGTCATTGAATTGTAATAAATAATAATGAAATTAATTGAAAATATCTTTAAAGTCACTGTAAAAATGATTATACAGTAAATGTTAAATAAAAAACAAAAAAGTTTTTGATATATAAATCAGTGTCTATTTTATTGCCATTTATGCAGATTTTATACATCCATAGCCTTTGAGTACCAGTTGTTTAACGAAAGCCGCAAACGATATAATTTAAACTGATTTCTACGACAAGAAATTTATGGAAAACAAGTATTTTGTTTGCAAATCACACACCATTTGAATGATATCTCAAACTACTTATTACTTCGCGAGAAATGATTTTATCGATCCGTTTGTCACTTCAGTTCAAATGCATTTCATTGGCATTTACTCTGAATTTCTGTGTATATGTCTTATGGAAAAGAGTCTTTCCATACATTAATAATGTTAATAAGTCTTATATTTACAGAATTATTATTACTATTTACGGACACATCTTCGGACTCAACTTCATGTCAGATATCGATTGTATAATAAATTGAAATACAAATATATTGTCGTCAAAAAGTAAAGTTTTGGACAGATGTGAGAGAATATGAATGTCAGCTAAGCATCTATTAAGCGTCCACTAAATTATTTGAGTCTTATTTTCTCATATCTTTTCCACAATTCTTCACATCTCTATACAATTGACTCTTCTATTCATTTAATCAGATGTTATATCGAGACAAAAGTCCAAAACGACAAATCTTTTTATGAATAAATTTAATTCAATTGTTATCACAAATTCAAGACTCACTAAATCCTGGGGACAGGTATTAGAACCGGGCTTTGGATTGGATTCCTATTCATTGGATTCTATTATTATTTAAATTATAGATTGAATCAAACAATTGTATGCTTTTATAATATGTAAAGTTAAACAAAGATATGTGTTATTATTGACTAACCATTCAATAGACAATTCCCATTGACTTTTCAGATAGAGTTCTCGATATCGAAAAGACATCTGAATTAATATTATCTGTCATGAGATCTGCGAAGAGAAACGAAACGAAAATATAAAAATAGATTGTCTTTCGACTCATGCCTTCGTTTCTCAGTTTATGTCAAAACAAGAGTTAAAACGATTTTCATTAATATTCATGAATCTCTTGATTCTCTCCATTCGTTTCCAGAACTTAACTCTTTCTATGAAAATAAGAATTACTAATTTGTTGGACGAGAGAGAGAGAGAGAGAGAGACTTCAAACACTAATCAATACCATTTCCATGGTTTAGATAAATAACAAAACATTTCTCACAATTCCTCTCTTTTCCACTGAATTCAACAAAAATGTGCAGAAAATGAATTTTAAATTAAGAAATAAAATATTTCTTTTTAAAATGACATGAAATTTTCCCATTAATTATTATATTCTTAATTAAATAATTTTAATAATAATAAAAATCCATAGAAATTACACAACAATTATTATAATTTAAAACGAAACTCCGTTCAAATGCAAATAATATTATCATAAAATTAATTAAAATATATCAAAATCCATATCATGTGAAACAAAAGCTATGATCTCTCGGCTGAACTCGTGTTCAGGTCTCCCGTTATTGTCAACAATATATTAAAAGCAGACAATTGTTTGTGAAAATTAAAAATTTTCATTTAATCCGCGTTTGAAATAATAATACTAATAATAGCCAAAAATATTCTTCCGCTTTGTTTGTTATGATGACAATAATAGTGGAATCGATGGCATAATATGTTTGATAGTACGGCACTTGATGTGGACGTATGTCTGATGGCATACCGGTGTGTGTTTTGTGTGACAATGTATATCCTGTGCGATGTTCTCCATTCCCTCTATTCATCGGGAAGTTTCTAAACGCATCGAAGAGTCCCGTAATTATACAACTAATATATTCATTCAAATGCTGTGTTGTGTTGTGTGTATTCCTATTGCCATACTTTCACTATAATAGCTGCCAATAATGGGTGGACTGACTAATGAACTTCTGTTTCTTTCAAATTACTTTTTTCCTATCATTCAATTCAATAATATATTCAACAAATGTTTGATAAATGAACACTGAATTTGTTTGATTCGAGATTTTTAAAAAATATTAAATGTCTATTTTGTTATCAATTTAATTGTGTTTATGCTATTAGTTATGATATTTATTTATATTATTCATTGGATTCTTCTCTACATATCTTACATTTCAGGTAAACTTAAATTCATTTACGTATATATTTATGCAATTGTGTGGATAATTAGCGATATTATTCAGTGATTTGAAATTTAATAAATTATCTGTAAAATTTATAATATTATTGTTGTAATAGAAATATTTTTGTAAATCATTAGTAATGTAAATGTGACTTTAGGTTTGAAATCAAATTTACATTTGAATTAAAAATTAGACAAAGAGCTAGAATTTAAAGACAAATACAACAAAAAGGAATATTTATATATAAGTCACCAGAGATTTGATTTTAAACATAAAGAAGATTATCCTTTAGTGAGTAAATCTAATTTAATCAATAAATTCATATCCAATTTGCATAAACATAAGTCTATCAAAATATCAGGAAATATAAGAATAATAAAATGTATAATCAATTATACCTTTATTTAGCAAATAAATATGTAGGTTATATAAACATAAAGTAAGTATTTATTGATTAAATTCAGTGTAATTGAAGCAAAAATTAAAATACGATAAAAATAGATTCATTCATATGTATTAATAGTTTATTAATCAGATTTAATTTTCAATTTTAATTTAGATGTTAATTTTTAATATTTATTAATAAATAGCTAATAATCTAAACAACGAAACGCTAAACCGAAAACCCAAACAAATAGGGAGAGAGTGGCCGTATCTAAAGGCCAATAAATTTTATCCCATTTATCCCAACATTGAAGAAGTTATTGAAGAGAATTATACGGAAACATATATTTGGTCAACAATTGTCACCCAAATTAAGACAAGTGTTTTGGCACCGATCACAAGACATAAAACCAAAACACCAAGGCCATTTTTGTCTTCAATTCTTGTACAGACGTGTCACTCTATTTGGTCCCAATTTTCCACAAATATCTTCGATGAACCCGATTCTCAACATTCCTTAACACCTGCTTTGACGCGAAGTACGGATTCATATTTAGGTTTGAATTCAATTTACAATTGTTTAATAAATTTAATAAAAATATACATTTAATTAATTATATTTTACAAAATATTTTTCAATAAACATTCAACAGATCCCTCGTCTCCAATAGAGATGATGCCATCAAGTGATGTCTCTATAGTATCGTTTTCAAGAGATTTTATCGGACTTTCATCAGAGATAAGCGGTGTATCCGAAAGTGTCATTACTTCTGATGCATTGACTGAACGCTTCACAACAAAAGAATATATTTTGAGTTCAACTTTTCAAACCAAATCCAATTCATATTCAACGCTAGGAATTGAGTCGAGTTTTACTATTCCGGAGACACAGACTCTGAGCCCTATAGAGACGATACCTATTTATCCGAGTCTTTCAATTCATTGGTCACGAGTTGTAACGAAAAGCGATAAGAATTCAATTTCTGGAAGTCGTCTATCATTTTCGCCATCACTTATAGAGAATTCGCTCTCAAATGATAATCCATTTATGACTTCAATACAAACTTCATTACAATTCACATCAGTGTCGACCACACCATCACAACCATCACAACCATCACAACCATTACCAACAATGAGTTCATTGAAAACAATTGATATATTGGATACAATATCAGTGGAGTACACGACAGTATCGCTCATCACAACACCCACTATAACCACAACAACAGTGACGTTATGTCCGGAACCGCTCGGACACCAAAATCTAAGACAACCGCCGGACAAACCGTATGAGAACTACTTGGTTCGCACGGGTATGTATGCGCTCCTACTCTACACATCATCTCATCATTTATTTACAATATCTAATCATTTCAAAGACATGTGTCGACAAAAACGTGATCCTTAGCTCTCTTTCAATTTATTAGTTTTTCTTATAAAATATAAAACTAACTAAAAATGTTTTTTCAAAATCTGCTTTTATTAAACAATTCGCAGAAAGATTTTTTGTATTTATATTAAAATTCTGTGATAAAGAATAATATAACAAATATTAAATCAAAATCATGTCTGATATGAAATGCATATAAAATAGGTTTTATCTTTCGCTATAATTATGCAAACTTTTTTCAATGAATATATTGTCTCTTAAAAGCGAATTAATTATAATTAATTAATATTTCACTTAATTTGGCGCAAATGACAAAATCTATTATTTAATTACCATTTTTGGTATTTCTTTAATTAAAGCTAAAAAGATATGTTTACTATTTGAACCAATTTCTTTTAATTAACATTACGTTTACTTTTTTCACTTTCCACATATGTTTTAATTGAATTATGGCTTCAGTTCTGAATAATACAAATCATGAATCGATTGATAGTATAAAAGCCAGAATTGAAGCAAACATTACCCAAATATATAACTATGCTTTTGGACTACAATACAAACAAACGGATCGCATGGCAGCCAACGCTTCCACTAAACTCTTATCAAAACTCAATTACACTAATATTACAGTTAAGGTAAGAAATGTTTCACATTCTCGGAGTGACAATAACTCATTGCCTATTATTACCGCACAGTTAGGCCAACGACTCCACACATAACGGCACTAAAGCGCAGGCAAACAACCCTTTCATACAGTTTTCTGCCTTTTAGTTGTATATAATAGCGAGAAATCGATGTTTCCATTCCTTATTCTTATACTTTCTTTTATTCTTTGAATGTTTTTTGGTTTTTGTCTTGATTTTAACCTCAAAAACAATGCAAAACATTTATTTTACTCAATAAATTACAATTGTGTGTAAATGTGGACAATCACCACATTTTTATACAGATTTTTTTCCTTTTTTGACAACTAATGTATTGAATAAAAGACAATTCAAAAACTTAGCGAATGATTAGGAAAGTCTGGTATTTGAAAATAATGTATAGTATTATAGGCTATGGTTTAATACCGTACATAAAGACAATGAATTTATGGCTTAAATTAGAAACACGAAAACACTTTCTCCATAAAACCTAAACTCAACTGTTATTTGTATGTCTTCTTAATAGCAAACAATACCATAGACTTAGAATTGAGAATAAATTAAATGTGCAAAAATTGTATTAAAGTTAGAAATACATTGTTCTCCTGCCATACAATGCAAATCAAGTGATTAGAGTCTCGTAAACATTTATACTAACTTTTTTTTGTTATTTATTATTAATAAGTTTTTTATTTATAATTACAGGATATTAACCATAAGAAGGGCTTAACTGAGATTCAAGTGGTCTATTATGTGGAAAAGAATGGCATTTTACTCCCATATGAAGACATTGAAAGGGCTCTGAGTTTTATTCCAGACAAGAAATACAGCGAAATGATTGGTATGGATGTTATCGAAAAAGTTAAGCGTAAGTCTTATTTATATTGAATTTTAATTAAATATTGATTTCAATGATTAATGAATCATATCATCCAATCCTCCGCATCACTGCATTCATTCAACGCAAACAATGTATCGCATAGTTATATGAGTTTAGTTTAGGTTAATTTGGATTAGTTTGGGTCACTTCTTGTTATTCTTTGTAACTTCATTATTACAACAATTATATACTGTTTATTAGTAATAAACAGTATATAATTGATTGTTAAACAAATATGCCTTTTTATTGAAATAATTAGTTTCGTGAAAAGTAGCAGAAATAATACAGTATTTAAAAATAAAAATAATTGTGTTTAATTAAGATATTTTAAATTTCAATATTGATTTATGTATTCTATATTGTGTTTCTTATTTCTTATTACATGTATTTCTTTAGCCTATAATGTGGTGAAAGCGGCAAAACTAGAGTTAAATTTAATAGCATTGATATTAATTTCGTGTTCGGCTATAATAATCATAATGTGTGTAATAATGGGTGGATTCCTGTTCTGTAAATATCGGTCTGAGAGACGCAAATGGATGGATGCCTTCAATTCACAACTCAATCGCGTTTCGCCCGACAATCAAATTCACTGGAGAACTGTTTCCCAACCAATGGATCCCAAATCGACAGCAAGTGATACTCAAATCAAAGACAAAAATACGGATAAAAGCAATGAATTTCAATACTTGCGCTTTGAATCCAATACAAGCAAAGCGAGTCTCATATCAAAAGGTACGCAAAGCGAGAGTAGTCTTCAAATGGAAAAACAAAAAGTGATTCCCATTCCTATCGGAAAACTGATCGATCGGAGCACTGATAGCACTGATGCCACTGACAGGAAGGCCAGCAATGAATATACGGCAACTACTTATGTGACGACCAGAGAAATAGAGACCGATTCCAGTGAAGAGAATAGGATTCCACATATAATTACAGTCCAAATGAGTTCACAAACCGAATCCATTATACGAGCGATTCGTTCAGAACTGAATAAATTTGGTCACAATTCGTCCGATAATGCCTTTCCATATATAGACGACTCTCACGACACATACACTGAGGAATCAATTATTTCTAATTCAAGCGAAGCCTAACAGAGGATGCCTTCCTCTCATCATTGGTGTCGTATTTACCGGTAATTAATGTTAGTATCCATTAGTTTTGTAATACAGAATGTCGTTAAATGTGTGAAACATTTCTAAACATTATCTCTAACTCTCTAAACATGTATACAAATGTAAAGATGGTGTGAAATGCGATCGTTTGTATAAATGTGTTCATTTTGATGATTACAATATTGAAATATATATCAAAATTGTTTACACTATTTATAGGTTTTTAATATTGAATTAATTCATATATTTATATGTATTTATGAGTGATTTTTAGTTATTTATTATAAATAAAATTTTTATAATAAAATATAAATGTGTGTCAAGTCAATCGATTGGTCTGTTTGTCTATACATCGAGTGATCTCTGGAGTCCTTGTATGAAATTAATGAGATAACTGCCCAACGCTTCCTCCTATAGACCACATAAAATACATGATTAATTCAATTCAATTAACAGTTTAATGATCTGTTGGTCGACTACTCACGTGATCGGACCACGAAATGTACACATCTTTGACATCATTAGTGGACCCATTGTTTACTCTAACCATTGCTGTGGACGCTATGATAGAGCAATCGTTGGCCAGTTTGATGTCGTGTTGATCACAAAGTTTACTAATTATTACATCATATTCATCGTTAATATAGTCATCAATAAATTAAGTTTCACTTCAAATAAATGACAACAAAAATGATTACTTTTTGAGTTTTTGAAACAAAAATTCAGTGATTTTTTGAGGCGAAGTGTTTGTGGCCTTAAGTCTGACGGTTGACGTGAATTGAATGATATGCGGTTTGATTCCCAATTCTTGCATCGCTTTACTCGGATCTACTAAACGAAACTGAGGACCCGTTCCAGTGTTGGTCATCATAAGAGTTCCGTGAAGTAGTTTCGGCCGTTTCGGGTCAGAGCTATCGCTCGACGAGTTCAGCGATCGCTTCAACAGATCGATCTCAACGTCGACCGGAATATTGACTTTGGTATCAATGGTGACGGTCTCGCCGTTGGCCGGCATATAGCACTCGATCTGAAACTCCTGTTTGATCTTCTTGTGCAGGAACTCCATCTTCGAGGCCTCGCCGTGAACTAGGAGTACATTCTTGGGTTCGCACTGTTGTATTAAAGTCATGATTCCTAACAATTGGTATTCAAATGTAACACAAATTCAATTGCAATCGTGTGGTCAGAGCTGACATACCCTTAGCGTCCGCGTGAGCGCTGAAAGACATGTACTGAACAGACATTTTCACTTCAATCGACTGTTTGTTTTCAAATTCAACTTTTTTGGC